ACATGAACAGATCCACTTAGAAGTTTTGCGGCATAGTTTCTAATATATGTACGTGTACTTTTAAGTCTCAAAAAGAAGACTTAAATGTATCGTACTAGGAAGAGTACTTTTGCCTTCGTTAAAAAGTATCCCCATGAGGTATAACTTATGAACTCTGAGTTAACGTTATCTAAGTGCTCAACATAAAAATACTGGAAATGTTAAAACCCCGCTTATCGAAACACGCACGGTTCCATTTTTATCGGCTGAAATATTTTTTTTGCAAATTTATTTATATCAAATGGCAGGCTATTTGATGGTTATCATTAGCCCTTTAGTTGACTCCAGGCTTCACAGAGGAGGAGGAACATCAAAGTGAAACAAGTCGAGAGGGAGAGGGGGAACAGAAGAGAGTTTCAAAGATGTAAAAGAGAGAGACACAAAAGTGGAAAAAGGTGAGGTGAGTACTGTGAAAGTAGTCGAATACGACATACAGATGGGCGATGGTAGTTTGAGGTCAGAAGTTAACTACCCGTTAATAGACTTTTTTGCCGTATAAGTATACGTTGCCCAGGGTGCACCACGTGAAGGTAAGTCTATCGCGTACCCCACATCAGTATTTATTGCGCATGTTTATTGCTAACCCAGAAGGACATCTTTTATACCTCTATTGGCTAAATGATTTGCAAGGTTAAAATAAGAGAGGGAGAACGTCATAGCCGTGTTAACGTCAAGCTTATTTGGGAAGCGTCTGCCTATGCACACCTTGATTTAGGGTGTAGCATCATTAAAGCTTATTGTTGGAAAACGGATACTTCTCTATCTCCTCTATTTGCTAAAATTAGTCATTTAATTTAGCAATGGTGCATATTAGGGGTGGACCGATTAGCGTTGAATTGAAAGGGATATTTAGTTTTAGATTCTGTTAAGCAAAATTTTTCATAAGTTCGAGCATAAGTTGACGATGTTCTATTCTAAAGACCCTTTGGGCCTGAGATACCTTAAAACTGCCCTGTTTCAGACTATGCTTATAAAAATACAATTTTAGGGTTTTTAATCTAATCAGTGAGACACGCCACTGCAAATGCACTTTGGTGTAATTAATAGTATTAATCTGAATGCCAATCCCTTGCAGCCAGCTCCGCTTTATTTCATTTCAGTTTGAGTACAAACTAGTTCTAAGTAAGTATTGCCCAATTAAAAATAGCATTTTCATACAATCATTTTATTGGTAACTGAAAAATAATTCCAAATGCGCACACATTTCAATGCAGACGTCAAACTCAGAGTCCCAGTTGAATATGTCGAAACTTTCCCTCTAAACGTGGAATGGAATGGCAAGCTTGTACTACTAACGTTCCACTTTGGCAATATTCAGGAAAATGGTCGAAGGGCAGAGTGAGGGGTGAGTAGTTACAAGACCTATTCATGTAGGAGCTTAATATTTACTACTATTTTTATTAAGCGAACGAGTATTAAACTAAAGTCTACTCGTTATTTCTGATGCAGAACATAGCATGCTGGTTGCTAACATCTGAAAATTCATCTTGTTAGTCAGAGAATAGGCTTGTTTTCATTGGTGATTGATCCTGGCAATTCCTAAATAACCATATTTAAAAGAAAAGTACTTTAAGTTGGACATGGCCAACACCTTCTCAATCTCCCTTAAAATATCCACGAGTTTAAGGTAAATCAAGCGAAGGTATTCCATTGATCAAGGTTCCTCTATTTGAGGTTAATTCAGCATTATAAACGAGATCGGGCAAATAAAATTTTAGGTTTCCATCGAAGTAAAACTGGTTTTAATCGTTATTGCTAAGTTCCAGTCCTTAATTCGTTGTACTACACTATGTACTTCTTTTGGCCATTCAAGGACAATTATAATTCTAATAAACAGCTATACTATTGACAACTGAATGATGAATAGGAAATTTGACTGAAAAAAGTTATATAATTTCATCATCCCTAAAAAAGCATTATCCGATTGTTCGTCGTATCCAGAGAGCCTTTTTATTTTTATTTTGTAATGAGTTGCCTTAAAGTAAGTTATTGAATGAAGGGTTTTAAAAGTTGAAACTGATCTGCCAGGTTAAGTATTTTTACCATTTCCATAAAATTCAAAAAGGTCTTTACTACCTACTTTAAGCCACAACAAGGCGTACAGTGCACATTTAGCCAAAGGACAAAGTTAATCAAAAAGTTGACGAACTTATAAGGAAATGAGTAGGTGTTTAGGGAAGAAGGTAACAGATAAGGTTTGATACAGGAATTTAGCAAGTTTGTGAGGCTATGCAAATCAATAAATCACATCAACAATCCTAAATAATTAATCTAAGAAATAAAATGGTAAGAGTCCGTGCAAGCTGGACAAAAAGAAGCTATTTTAAATTCATGATTAAGTGAAGGCATATTCATATTAAAATACGAGTTTGACTGATGGATTTAGAGCTTTAAAAATGTTATTATTTGATAAGAAACGAATTCAATTTAAAGATTTATAACAAGTAATGCCAAAGTTTGTACTCCATCAGTTTTTTGTTGCCACGTTCTTGTCAAAAATTGTATGCCTCTATGCATATTCTTAGCTCTGTTGTCCTAATGAAAACATATAGGAGATTTATTACCAATTGTCCATCATTAAACAAAGAATATGAAATTTGCCAACTCCTTACCGTACGCAATTGGCACCTTTTTATTAATCACGCCCACTCTTAAATTACTAAAATATCACGTCATTCACCTCTACTCCTTTCCTCCTTTATTTCAATAGGTTTTTCTAAAATACACACATCAAGGTTTATTTATATCAAATGGCAGGCGTTTTGATGGTTATCATTAGCCCTTGACTTCAGGCTTCACAGAGAGAGAGGAACATCAAATCGAAAAAAGTCGAGGGGGGGGGGGGGGAACAGAAGAGTGTTTCAAGGACGAAGGTTGAAAATTTAGAAAATTTGTGATGTAGTAATGTGAAAGTGGTCGAATATGACATACAGTGGGGTCAGAGGTCAACTGCTGGTTAATAGACCTTTTGCCATATGAGAATACGCTGCCCAGGGTGCACCACGTGGAGGTAAGTATATCGCACACCCCAAACGTCAAAATTAACCTTTGGCCTTTTAATCTTGAGTAAGACTGTTATAGACGGCTCGTTGTTTGGACAACAATTTATTTTGCCAAAGAAATTTAAGTCCAATTTGATCGTCCTCTGAAAGCATCTTTATTGACTAGATACTTAGCAAGATTCAGTTGTACTGAAAATTATAGTAAAGGTTTTCCAAACAAATGATGAATTTCTCGAAATCAGTAGAAAGCGCATGGCTCATATTTTTGCTTTATAAGATAGGATTGTAATGCATAATTAAAAATTAAAATTTTTCGCACTATCCAATAAAACATGCATGTTCAATAACCGTAAATGATATCTTGTGGGTGAGGAAAGGATTTTCCATGAAGTTTGTCAATGGTGTGCTTCATATTCTCTTCTTATCCTCCAGAGGTCTTTTACCAAGTGAAGCAGCTTCAGAGGCTATTCGAATCGCTCTTCGTCAGCTTTCCTATGGAATGGAGCCCGTCAAAGTCCAACCGGTGAGTATTTCATTGTGTTGATTGAGAAATTTCTTATACCCAATCAGAATAGTTCTACATGATAATAGGTAATAGAGGAATGAAGCAAGATCTGGCTAATATGGAGAATTTTAACTCTTTAACGCCGAATTATTTTAATGAAAAATGCACAAAGACCCACTCCCACCTTATGCCGACGAGATGAATATTGATGGAAACAGGCGAAGTTTATACACGCATTGAACACGTTTCAAATAGAAATAGAGCCTTCTGTTACGAGTCTAGTACTAATTGAGCTTATTTTGAAAGATGACCATACAGCCCTAAGAGCGTTAAAGGGTTATAAAACCTCTCAAATTAAAATCATAAATATTTTAAAAGTTTATTCTTGCTTTGTTTTAAGAGATAAGCGGGCGAGGCAGGAGTGGGCGGTGTTGTCATGTTGACGAATTATCCCTCTTCGATTTACTAAAGTTGGTCGTTTATCTTTTGACTTCTTGTCCAGCCTTCCAATAGGTAGCACCAATACACTTTGGTAGTAAGTGTTTCGTACGTTTTGACAATTGCTAATGGACCATTCCACATTCCACCAACTTCATGGGAGAGGCTCCTGAGTGTTCAGTCCTGCACCGACTTGACTTAATAGATGAGGTGGGTGTCGTAAACGGTTCACTTCTCGATCTCAGTAACAATTTGTCTTGAAGTAGGATGAATTCTTTGTGTTGACAATTAAGAAATGTTTGTGTTTCATTGTTTATCTTTGTTGAGATTGGGAATGGAATAGTTGAATTCAAATCTTCTTGAATTGAGGGATGCTCTCAAAGTGCAATTGCATAGTTGCCAATGGAAGTGTGAGTTTCTGGAATGATTTTTCAATGGCTGTTGGAAAATCGAGTTCCACTTTTGGGGGTTTCAATACTTCATCTTTATAAGTCGTTCTGATTTTGGCTCATTATTTAAATTTCAATTGGTTGTTAAAAATCATTTTAACCAAAATTGACATCACTTTCTGTAAGGACTTGCCTATACATTTCAGCAATGGCGTGGATTGAGTTCAAGGTGTGTTTACAAGTAAGCAGTATGAAACTATCTGTCAGGTGTGCTCTCTTTCTGTATATCGAGTAAACATTTTAGTCTTCACAATAAAATGGAATTTATCGCTCATAGGCAATATTGCGCAAGTTGTCTACTAAGACCAAAGTTATGGATTTGCTTCCTTCACCGTATCTCTACAAAAATCAAACGCATAAACGTCCTTGGTACTGCCGTATTGCAACTATGCTATATTAGCTCCAACCAGTATTCACATTCGTATCAAACACTCCAATCACACAAAAGGATTGATTCTTTTATATCATGTTGTTGTCTCCTTTTTTGATGCGTCACGATGTATTCTGTAACCCGTAAATAGGCATCTATGCCAAAAGTACGCTCATTTCATGTTTGCAAGAAGCAATTAACTTAATGCGAATTTACAATTGTACCAACTTAAGCTCCAACCGTATTCTGTTTAATTGATCAGTGTTCTTTCAGAAATGTGAATGCAAGTTTTTGACGAGACTCCTAAATTTTCCACCTTCTCGTTTAGCAGATAAAGCACAAAAATTCCCGAACAGTTCACATTGGCTTAACTCACGAAGGCGTGGCGGAATTCACTGGCAGCAAGCGAACCCACCTCTACAAATGGTACGTTTTTCTCTACTTAAATTTTTACTTCAAAACCACAATCGAGGAGACTTATTCAAAATCAGCAACTAACATTTTTCTATATGTATTTTTGAATTACTCTGCAGTCTGTAATTGGCGGTGATCATTATACAATTCATTAATAAAATTATTATTATTTTAATAAAATATGTGGGGGTGGCTCATGACCTTTCCGTTTAAAGCTTTGTAGCGGATTGCTACCTTAGTAAAGCCTGACCGACTCAGAAATCTCTATGGCAGATTCTCCAACATCTAGCTAGACTCCCAGAACCAGCTAAGCTATAGCCCAGCTATAAAGGAAACAGACGTGCAGCACGGAGCACGTTTATTCAGTACGAGTATTGCGGATAAAGTGTTGTACACGCAGGGAGGTACTCATGATCAGGATGGGGGATTAGGTTAAACAGAGGTTGATGATTGGTCACTGTTTGTACGGTCGCTGCACACAGAGTTGTACGGCCGCAC